CATCAAGAACGCCGATTCATCCGGTAATGAACCAAGTACATCTTGAGCGAGTCATTGAATCTTTAATTCATAAATTACATGTGATTTTGTTTAGTTGTTGTGATGTGATAATGTTTTTTTCTTCAGAATCATGAGAGAACCACAACTTCCATTGGGGGAAAAAAACTCAATTTATCCAGAATCATGCAGTTCTATTTTGCGCACACACACAGCTCTTAAAGAGTCCAGTTTTTATGTAGCCTGTTGATTTTTGTTCATGGTATTCAGCTCCAATAAATATACCCAACCCTAAGCATGAAATGACAAACTGCTAGAGCTCAATTCATTTCTGTGAATCAATTTAAATAGTTCATTTCAAACTAACTCTTCACATCACATAAAAACAGGGATGTAACGATATCAAAATCTCACGATACGATAATATCGCGATATGCAGTCCACGGTAAAGTGTTTATTGTGATGTTTAAAAAAAACAAAAACAAAATTTATTTAGTACATTTTAGAGTTAAATCATTCTATCTAATGCACTTTGAGAGTTCAAAATTAACAGCTGCATCCCATGATCTTAACCAAGAAAACTTGACTTGTTCCTGAACTTGAAAGAGGACTCAACCCTCTTATTATTTGTGACAATTTTTAAAATTTTTTACAAGCCGCTCATTTCTGACCATGAACACCAATTAAGGTATAGGATTTCAACAACACATTAAAACATTTTTTTAAAATATATTTTTAGGTTTTATATATGGTTTTAATAAACCAGTCATAATGGTCAATTTTCAGAAATGAGATTCAGACTAGGGATGTGCGCGACGACTAATTTGACTGTCGTTTAAACGAAAGTTTTGTATCCGACTAGTTGACTAGTCTAAAAGCAAGAAACCCCCAAAAGATGGTAAGAAAAAAACCTCTGTGCGTGCGTGTAGCATATATAATAGCCTATATTTGAAATACTTAATCTATGAATCACACTGTCAAATCCCTCAATGAATTCCGCTTGCCGCACACTTGCCTCGCGTTATCATCATTTCATTTTAGGCAGTCGTTAAAAATAAAAAAA